ATGAAGCAAGCAAGAATCTGTTAACCATAGATCATTCCATCACATATAACGCATGTAAAAACTATAGGGGTGTGAATCTGGATTAATATCCCTATTCCATATTTGTTGGCAGTCGGCATCCATCTGTCTAAAGAGACAATGGGGTGCGCCTCTTGAAATTAAAGTCCTGTACGACCCTCTTGAACTTGTCTGTCCCAAGTCTAGCCTTGGCCCTAGCACAGGGGTAGGCAACCTAAGGCCCATGGGCCACAAGCAGCCCACAGGGGTCGTCTAACTGGCACATAAGCCGCCCCCGAACTGAGCCGCCCACTCAGCGAGTCCCCGCGCACTGCGCTAAACCGGCCCAGCATGGCGCGGGGACTCGCTTCCGCGACGAAAATCGCGCCTGAGCAGAAACAGATGCCAAAAACTACGGGCACGCGCATTCACACGCTCATGCAATCCGGCCCAGGGAAGGATCTCCGCTGGAGTGAACCGGCCCAAGCAAGGTAAACCTTGCCGACCCCTGCCTTAGCACAAACATGTCCAAGTTTTGTTCTAAACTGGAGACACAGCTAAGAGAGGTCATCTTGTAGCTCTCACAAACACTATTGTCCTGGTGGTTGTGAAAATACTAGGTGGCGCAATTCGACATAGTGGGAATTACAAGTTGAGATGTGGAATTTTAATATGCAGTTTGCAAGCTGATTTGCAAGCTGATTTCAGTCACTTTGCTGTATCACGGGACTTTCAAGTCTATAAGAAATAAAATACTTGCCTCTTCTACATTTTCCAAGAAGTCCTTTGAATAAAACTATTTACATTGATCTGTACCATCCGAAGCCTGTCTGTATGACTGTCCTTGAGGCTAGCTCTCTAAAGGAGTGGACCTGTGATGGAGCGCCTGACAGATACTAGATTGTAAGAATGTACTACCTTCCCAAGTTACAATTCAGAAACTTGACATTCATTTCCATGAACACTAATTCATGATCATCAAAGAAAATTTCTGGCAGTTTCCCTCTCTACACTCCTATACCCGATTCCTCAACTAGCTCTGTTCCAGGTAACTGGCAAATTGCTAGGGCACAACAGAGGTTTGCTAAACCAGTATTTTCATCTTGCCTCTCTAAGGTGACAATTCTACGTATACCCATAAAGCAGGGTTGCCAACTTGAATAAAATATTATGGGGGGGTCAGGTGAGCCCAGCCCCACATAACTGATCACATGACACAGTGCACACACACCATATGAATGGGAATATGCCCATCAATTTGGGGGGGGGGCTCGGCCCCCTCAAATATTTTATTGTGGGGGCTGAAGCAATCCAAAAGATGTGCACTCAGAAGCGAGTCCCACTGCATTCAAAAGCAAATCAAATTCTATTCAGCATACTTCCAGGAAAGTGTGCACGTGATTGCTTGCAGACTTAAAGTCAATAAACAGTAAGGGAAGGACAAATGACCTAGTCTGAATTTCAGCACTGCAACTTGGCGCTCAGGTTTTCTTTAAGTCAGGGCCGGGGAACCTATGGCCCTCCCGATGTTGCTGAACTACAGCCTCTATCAGTCCCAGCAAGCATGGCCAATGGCAAAGGATGATGTGAGCAGTAGTTCAGCAACATCTAGAAGACCAAAGGTTCCCAACACCTGCCTTAAGTGAACAGACAAAATTCAGAATGCCTCAGCCAACTGGCAGTCAATTCACAACCGTAGCAGTTATCAGTCTTAGTCACAGTCACCTATACTGACTTCTTATTTTTACCCTTATATCTTCATAATAAGTTGCATATGAACACTCCGTTAAACTATATTTTTGCTGTTGGGGGGAGCCAAAGGTGCCAAGGAAGGAGTGCATGATCTGTAAAAAAAAATTGATGTCGCAAAGGATGCTGAGGCACAACTCTCATGCCCAGCCACTTTTCTGACCTTAACCACATTTCTCAGGCAGCCATTCCAAACGTCTCAAGCAGCCCATTAACAACTCTTAAGGTTGCTGCTTGCACACTTCTGTGGTTCCCGCTCCCCCTCAGGGGTGCACATTCAGTTGATGGAGGGCACTGACCAGGTCCATTGGCTGTAACTTCTGCCCCCATCAACTGAAAGTGTGCCCCAGAATGCCTGCTATTAGGAATTACAGATGAATATCACAAATGTTAGTTCCTTGCAAGAGGGTCTGTCCACTATCACTAATCTTCTGACTGAATAACTCCTCATAACCTTCCAGGGAAACTGTATTTAACAAGACAAATGATTGAAAATAAAAAGCAGGTTCCACTGGTAGACATACTTCCTCATGAACCAACTCTTCAGCAGTGCTTTACTTTAAATATATATGTATTCTTTATATATTCAAGTCAACAGGCAAAGCTCCATGAACTTCAAACTGACAAAACACTTGTCAACAAATGCCAGTGAAAACAAAAATTACAACATCGTTCCCACAGTTTCATTTGCTCCTGGCCCAAAAAGGAAGGGGATGGGATTATGCACAATGGCCAGCCAACTGCTTTTCACATCGAAGTCGGAAGAATGTCCTCATCCACCCCAGTGCTGTGTACATTAATACAGACTGTTCTTTCAGCACCTGGGGAATCTGCCAGCACAGTGCTGCACACGCTGGAAAGGAGTTTCTCAGAGACAGAGTGGCAGCAAGCCAGAGGAGGGCTTGTTACACAGATTAGTCTGCATTCCTTTCTACCGAGTGAAAGAGAATACCCACCATGCACTGTCAGTAAGGCGGCCCCAGATTAAGCCACAAAAGAAGACAATACTGCAAGCAGTCTGCTTCTTTATACAACCGTTTAGCAAAGCATTTTACTTTCAAGCACTGTATCTGGGACATGTGTCCGTTTTACTTCGGTGGGACTCAACCAGCTTAAATCCAAGCACTCCAGTTTAATAGTGTCATGGAGTAGACAGCCCCTGTCGCCAAAAGAAGACGGAATGGAGAGATAGGGAGAGAAGTGAAATACATTGTTCAAGGACTCCTTCTAGGAGTCATTGTTGGGGACATGAGAGACACTCTTAAAACAAAGAAATTGCTAATCCTAGCAAAGTAAAAGCTGCTTCTCTGTGAGCCGCTGAGACATGGCTGGATTAATTTTTGGATCAGCAATGGGGACCCTGTGGCCCACCAGATACTGTTGCACTCCAGCTCCCATCAGTCCCTAGTGAATGGTGAATGCTCAGGGATTTTGGAAATGGTAGTCCAACAACATCTGGAAAACCACAAATTCCCTGCCAGTGATTTAAATTGTCTGGTCATGGAATCAGCAGCATGGGGCTCTCTAGGACAGTGTTTGCCAACCCAGTGCCCTTCAGATATTCTGGACTACAACTCCCATCAGCCCCAAACAACACAGCTAATATTTTATTTGGAGGCATTTAAAAAATACATGCATGAACATCTTTGGGCTAGCTGTGGTGACCACTACTCAGCATGGTTAATTATCAATTTTAAGGGACTTACTGAAACTATCAGAGCTGTATGAAACTAAACTTTTGGGGAGAAAAATCAGTTTACATGCACCCTTACAGGACATGCTGGCATGAGAAAAAAATCAGCTCATGAGAAAAAAATCAGCCAATTCTTACATTAGAAAACAGACAACAGCCAAGATTAGTCTACAAGTGATTAAGGGTATGACATTGAAAATAACGGCAGTGTCAAACTGCCTAAAGAAAGCTCAAAATACAGAGGAAATGAGAAGAACAGCCCTTTGTGATTTTTAAACGTAGTATATATTTTATGCTATAAAAATTGCTTTAAAATATACAGTAATTGCACTATAGGATTTTAAAAATAAAGTACGCATCACAATGGGCATGGTATACCAAGCAGTATGTGCACAGAGAGAGAGAGCAGCCCACGTGATCGGTGTACAGTATGAAAGCTACATCTGATGTAAATATGGGAGGTTGGCCTTCTGCCCCTGCTTTGTCAACAGAGCAGTAACTTTGAGTTCCTGCAGTCCAAGCTCCAGCTTCTCCAACGCAAAGGGACTGAACAGGAGAGCACTCCCTCCAAATCTGAATCTGGCCCTGAGTCTAATCTGGCTCTTGACACTAATGCACAAGCCTGCCCCCATAAACAGATGTTGCACATAAGTAGCATTTGTTGGGTTGAAATAGCCAGGGTTTATTTATTATTAAATATATGTCCGGCCTTTCTTCTATCGAAGAGACAAAGACTTACTTAGCCTGAGTAACGTTCCTACATTAGACCCACCCTTTTCGTAATTTTATTTCACAACAATGTTAAAGCCTGTTTGGGCAGGAGGTGTTGTTTCCCAAAGCACATAGTTTGTCTTTTGCAGGAGGCGAGCGCAGAACAGATTGTAAGAAAATGCATACATCTATTCCATTTTGAGTCTGGAATCATCATAAATAATGGGAATGGGGGATTACGAATCTGCCAGATTTCAGTACAAAGATATTGTGGAGCCTGAACTTGAAAACAACCTTTTACACACTAATGATTGATTGATTGATTGATTGATTGAATGATTGAATGATTGATTGATTGATTTATATTTATTTATATCCTGCCTTTCTTCCATTAAAGCACTCAAGGCAGAATACACAAGTTTCCCAAGTGGTCTCCCATCCAGAAACTGAACAGATCCACACCCATTTGGCATCAGGAAAGTAACTGCATCATGTGCTCTCAGACAATGCCCTGGGAAACAAGCTCCCTCTATTGCAAGGTTACTGAGTGCTAGAAAACCTGTGGGGCTCAGAGACTGCACTGGAAAAATTGGGTACAAGAAGGCTTGGCTGAAGTGCCACCATCCAATCAGTCAGACTTGTGCCATTTTCCTGACATAAACCCCCTCTTCCAACAGAACACATCACACAAGAAGGTGTTAGAATAGTTGTCCATCGAAAATGGCTGCTCCTTTCTGAAACGCCGTCCACAATCAGTAGCTGACAAACCCATGATAGTTTTAGGATAGAACTATTTAGCAAAGCAGCCTTCCCCTTAGTTTTAGTTTTTAAATAAGTTATAACAAGTTACCATTTTGGAGAGTCTGCGCCCGCGATTCCTTTCCCAAGTTGACGTGAAATCCTCCAACTGTTTGTGTTTTTCCTGCCGCTGCAAGGAACAAAAAAGAAAAAGCTTGTCAAATACTACAGATTAATGGAGGTATTACAATAAATCTTGTGATGGCTCCCTTTTAGTAAGTGTTTCATCTAACAAACTTCAGTGGTCCTAGACACAGAGGCTCCTCTTATGCTGATTAAGGACCCAAGAACACTCATAAGGGAACTCAAGAGCTCTCCTTTCTGCAGCTTCTTATGCTTCTATCATAGACAGAGTGCAACAGGCTCTCAGAGTGGGTGACTGAAAGGTTGTGCAATATATATTACTAGGGGCTGCCATCACTGCTTGCTCTGCTCACCCACTCCATCCACCCATCTCTCTGCCCTTACCACACAGCTGACCAACCAGACTCTCTTTACACCTTCCCCCATACCTCACCCTAAGCCCCTCCTCTCTCACCCCATAACCGTTTGAAAGGGAGGAAGAGGAACTTCACACAGCAGTTTGCTAAATAACTGTGTGAAGGGTCTTCTCACCCTCTATTAAGCAGCTTACATGGGCCAGCCAGCTATTCCTCATGCTGCATCTGGCATAGCTACCTATTGGCAGCCATGCAAGCTGCAGAGTGTGACGACACCTTACCTTTTTATGTAGGGAGAAAAACAGTGTGGGGGTACATGCAAACATTTCCAAAGATTCTTATTGGGTTTTCAAAGTCAGTCTGCATGTTCACTACTGTAGTACTTTGGGGTTTAGCAAACTTCCAAAAGGTAGCAAGCAAACACATCAGGAAGCCTCTAAGAATATGTTCCCTGTTACCTTCAAACTATGATTACCAATTTAAGAACAAGCCAGAATATGATACCTCAGTTCTGTCCCCGTGCTGCTTAACAAACTACTGAATGGGATCATACAGAGCTTTGGAGTACACTTATCAGTATACTGGCGATATACAGCTCTATTTCTCCTTTTTATCTTCTGCAGGTGAGGCAGTGGATGTGCTGAATCAATGCCTGGTTGCAATAATGGACTGGATGAGAGCTAATGCACTGAAACTTCATCCAGACAAAGACTGAGTTGCTGTTAGTGAGCGGTCCTTCTATTCAGCTGTGTTGTGTGCAGTCTGCTTTAGACAGGGTCACACGCCCTCTGAAGAAGCAAATTCAAAGTCTGAGGGCTCTCCTGGATCCACTGCTGCCACTTGAGATACAGGTGCCTTCTCCCAGCTCAGAGTAGTGGCCCAGCTATGACACTGCAAGACTAAAAGAGCATGGGTGCAAGACTGAAAGTTTTTTTCTAACAAATAAATTATTCCAGGAGCCATCAGAACCCATTCCATGGTGATGTGTCCAGTCAGAAGGAAAAAATTAAAATGAAAAACGCATTTCTGGTTTCTATGCCATTTATGAAAGGTGTCAATCCAGACCTCTTTCAGCATATTTCTTTGGAAATCATTTGCACGTTAAGTTTCAGACTTCTCCCAGTTGACAACAGAACAATTTGTGCTAAAAAGTGGTTTATTTATCAGAACTATTGAGCCAAGGAAGCTGATGATGTGGAAGTAACTATGGTAGGAATATTAATTTTTCTACCGTAAGAGAATATGTGGGGGTTTAAGTAATATTTTCACCACTGCACTCTTATAAAGAGAAAAATGACACATACTAAAACAAAGAAGGAAACCCATACTATCTGGTACTTTACACACTTATAATGCAGCCTGCCACTTATGCAGAAAGTGTCCAACCAACTGTGAGATAACCATGGATCACACTGGCTACACTGGGAGACTTAAGATACAAAAGCTAGATGCTTCAGTTCCATAGTATCTGCAATTGATAGCAACAAAGGCAAAGATTCTTAATTTTTTCAGTCTGAGGTTTTCAGTCAAAAGCTACTGCTAAAAGATGGCTACTCTCAGCTTCTACCATTCAGCTGTCAAGCAATTTTACAGGAAAGTAAACAGATCTGAACACTCTCCAGCAGAGACAAGTTCTGTCAAGCCCATTCTCTCCACATCCCCCCCCACCCCACCCCTCTTCTGTTCCCAGGTATCACCCCAGTGGGAGTCAGATTCTGAGGTTCTTCTCTGGATGAAATACAGCTCTATAAAAATCAATGCAGTCACAAAGTGCACAATTCAGCATTTTCATAACTGCCAAACTATCCTCTGCAGCATCTCAAGCAAGCCTTTGTTGCTGTCATGAAAGCTGCATATACAGGAAGAGGGTGCCAGAAAGAGATTTAGCCCTGATGCATGATACAAGACTGACACCTGGAGGAAGCCATGAAAGATGCAATGAGAAAGTCACTCATACGCTGTGCAGCTTCCCTGGAAGAGTATCTGTGTCCATGATAAGGGGCGGCATCTTTCCTACATGATTCCAACAATCTGTTTTGTCCACATGACTCCTGAGGCGCTCAAGAAAGTCTGTTATATGACGACAGGCAGGTAACAATTAATAAAGAAAGAAAGATAAAGTTTATAACAGGTCTATAGGCAGGAAATGCGCCCATGCTAATTAAATTTTCCTGTCCTAAGACCACCTGTAGTTTGGAAAGCTGCTATTTTTCTAATTCAACTGCGGGGAACCAGAGTGCCTTCCATAAGTTCTTGGACTCCAACTCCCATCAACCCCAGCCAGAACAGCCAAGAAGATGGAAGCTGCAGGCCAGCACTTTCTGGAGGTGCCACAAGTTCCCTGCCCCTGCTCTAATGGCAAGATGTGTAAGCATAAACAGTGGCAGTCTGTGTACAAGTCCTACTCTACTAAAATAACCCACAAATGAGGGCGTCTTCTGCATGACCATCCCTCCTGCCTTCCTTTCGGAAGGCAATCTATAAGGAACCTCAGAGAAACAATGTCTGCAGTAAACTCTGCATTTGAATTCCGCATGAATGGGCTTTAGGATAGCAGAAACAACAACCAAGCTTATCTGACACTTGAAACTCTTTATCAGAGAATGAGCCACTCAACAGGAGGCTGGGGCTGTTCTGTTTATTTAAGAAATACGCTCATCTGAAAAGATGTGTGGAAGTTTGCAGAGAGATATGGAGAGTGGCTAGGGGCGTGGGGTAATACGATTCTATTTATTTCACTTATTGCATTTGTATACCACTTTTCTGCCAAACCACTCAAGGCAGTTTATAATTTGTATAAGCCATTATCAATCCAAAACCGCTACAAAAGGATTGGCAAGAGAAGAGAAGAGAAAAACAAACAATTTCAGGTCCCAGCTCTTTTATAAGGTTACCTAATGAGCCGGTGGAATGGCCACATTGACAACCAACGTATCAAGTAAATTCTGCATTCTATCTCCCACTGAAAACAAACAGCATCATAATTTATGGAAGGATGCTTCTGGAGTCTAAACATGGCAATGTCTCTTTCAAGTTCTGTAAAATATTACTGAAACAGATGGTAGAAGAGTGCTAACATCTTGAGCAGTTTTGGCACCACTGTTAAGAAATAAAAGTTATCAGTGCTCGGGGGTACGTGCTTGTTTTAAGTTGCCTAACTTCAATTCATCAATAGGCCAAACTTGGGGTTTTGTAGGTGGGCTACAAAATGGGCATTGGACAGTGTCTAAAAGATGATAGTACAGTGAAAGTTTCAGGGGCTATGGAGTGTAATATTTTATACAGTGGTACCTTGGTATTTGAACCGCTTGGCTCCCGAACAAATCGGCTTCCAAATGCTGCAAACCCAGAAGTAAATGTTCCGGTTTGTGAACGTTTTTCGGAAGCGGAACATCCGACGCAGTTTCCGATTGAGTGCAGGAAGCTCCTGCAGCCAATAAGAAGCCACGCCTTGGTTTTCGAAGGTTTTCAGAAGTCGAACGGACTCCCGGAATGGATTAGGTTTGAGAACCAAGACACCACTCTTAATGTGCCCACTTGTTAATCCCATCTTGTGAAAAGAAAGTGACCTGTTTCCTGCTCAACTCATCGGGAATGGGAAAAAAGGTGAAATTTGTTAAAGTTCCTGGCATAAATATAAGCCTGTGATGATTATTACAGCTAAAACTGCCCACTGACTTTCAAAATTTTCTTCAATTTCTGGGCAGAAGTGGGTGTCACACCAACTTCTTACTGCACATTTCTTGATTTTCAGATGCCATAGTAGGTTAGGTACACATACATGCTTAAATTTCCTCCCTCTGCAGCTTTCACCATCCTTTCTAGACACTTGCCAAACTCAGTGGTAAAACAGATTCTGTAATAAGAGAGGTTGATGAAGAAAGAACAGGAAGAAACAAATACAGTGGTACCTCAGGTTAAGTACTTAATTCGTTCCGGAGATCCGTACTTAACCTGAAACTGTTCTTAACCTGAAGCACCACTTTAGCTAATGGGGCGTCCGGCTGCTGCCACGCTGCTGGAGTACGATTTCTGTTCTCATCCTGAAGCAAAGTTCTTAACCTGAAGCACTATTTCTGGGTTAGCGGAGTCTGTAACCTGAAGCGTATGTAACCTGAAGCGTATGTAACCCGAGGTACCACTGTACTTCTGAATACGAAACATGACCAAATAGATAGAAAAACCTAACAGATTTGAGCATTGAAGACATAGCAGGAAAGAAAGTCAGGTAAGTAAATGTAGTGGATTGAACTGTGAGAACTATATGGATGAATCTGTATAGGTTTTTTGGGGGGGGTATCTACCTTTACCAGAATTTCCCCCCAAATTCTACTCAATCTGATCTCACAACTTCCCAGCCTTCAGCCCACCAAAAATCACATCCCCTCCTATTCCTGCCATTCCCCAACTCAGTCATATCTAAGCCATCATTGGTTACACCTTTTCACTTCCTCTGTGCACACACTATTCACTTAAGGTCCCCTCTCTTGATCTCTATCACCTCAAAATGATACGCAAATCCAGGGCAATTCAGAAACTATGCAGTAGCCCCCACAAAAGTCACACAGACCTCTTAAAACCAAGTCTTTTCTGTCCTCAAAAGTACCTGCCCCCCAAATCCTGGCACTTGCCGATCAGAAGATCGGCAGTTTGAATCCCCGCGATGGGGTGAAAACCCGTTGCTCGGTCC